AATAGACCTTGACTCTGTAAGAGCTTCCAAGACATGCTAATCAGTGGGGCCCAGGCTAACACAATGTACCTGATCTCATAAAGCACAGAGATAGACAGAGACATGCTACAAGTCAGGGCATGAGAAGAGTTGACACTTGAGAAGTATATGAAGAATATTCTAGAAGTCCAAATTACAGTAGTTGCTAGATAGGAGGTGGAAGCCCGACCCATTCAGTGCAGTGACCTCAGAATTAAGGTTGGGAGACAGAAGAGGATATTGGTGAAACGCACAGGCTCTGAGGTCATAGCCTGTATTTATTCCCAAGCGGGACACTGACCAGTTGTGCTCCATTGAGCAGGCTACCTAGACTCTCTGACTTTTGGCTTCCCCATTGGTAAAATGGAGGTAATAATAATTAATAATAATAATAATTTGCTTCATAGGGTTGTTGATACAAATAAACGAGATAATACATGCAAAATGCTTAGCAGGGATGCTTAGAATGTAATATGTGGTTAGCAAATCTTAGCTATGATTCCAAGAACAAAAGCTCAGTACCAGGCAAGAGTTTCAGCTTGAATTAGGAAGTGTCCTCTAAGCCATGAAGGAGGTAAAACTAGGACAAGTACAGGGAACCGTACAGAGCAGACAGAAAGATCAAGAACTTGCTGTCTCGAGTAGGTTGTGCAGGTTTAGAATATAAGCTGAGTTAGATGTCCCACTACTGTTTCCCCAGAAGCCCATCCTTTCCTTAGTCACAGCTCTTCTCTCCAACCTCAGTACCTGCTACAGTGTCTGTCATACAGTAGATGCCCATGATGTTGGTTGAAAGAGTAAACATATTTAAAGTAGCCTTAAGCACACACAAACCTGTCTCTGGCTTCTCGCTTAGAAAACAAAAGGGCATTAGAAAAATTAGCCTCATAGATAAACCCAGATATTATCAAAAGGAGGTGCTCTTTTCAAGACATTTTTTTTTCTTTTTCTCATTTTTGTGAAGGAAGTGACTTTTAGTAAGTGCAGAGAGAATGTGTAAACTCACCATAGGTGTCAAATCATAACACTGTCACAGGAGAATTCACACCTATAGATGAGCTAGTTGAAGAACAAAGTTAGTTTTGAAAGGTTAGAGAAAAAGATTTTGAAATGTCAGATCCACTCTATAAAACTGACCACCCTTGGCATCACCCTTTTAATTTACCTGGGTTGGAGAAAAGCCTAGGGCATTTGAAATGAAGACAATTAGCACCTCAGACAGGGCATCCACATGCAAAATTCTGTCACCTCTCAGAGACCTCAGGAGGTGACAAGTCTAGATAAGAAGACACTTTCAACCTTGGCTGACAGTTTGTCAATGCTTTTATATTTGACTTAAATGGCATCTATATTTTAAAAGGTTGTAGTTTGCTTTAAACTATGAAGCTCTCTTCCTCCACCTCATGATTTTTATTTCTTAGGTCGTTTAAAAAACAACAAGAACAAAAATCGTTCCTCTATTGGGTGAGATCTGAGGAAACGGCTCTTGCTTCTTGCACACAAATGAGCTCAGTCCATTTCCCCTCTGTTTCTCTGGAAAGTACTCTTGGCTTTTGTTTAAAGCACAGAGTATTAAAGCTGGAAGTGGCTTTGGGGGTCATCTGGTTCAAGTCCATTTGACAGAGGGAAAAAGTAAGGCTCAGAAAGAGAAAGTGATTTCATGGTAAAACATGTAGTATAATTTGACCCTCATAATTGCTGGATTAATCCTCCTTCCAATTTATTTTGCTCTTCCAAAAGGTAGGCCAGAGGCATGTACAACCAAGTGCGTGCGCGCACGCGCATGTGTGTGTGTGTGTGCACACATGCATTTTTTTCTCTTATTTTCTTTAGAGCACTGATTTCATTCATTCACTCACTCAACAAATATATTTAAGCATCTAAAATGTGCTAGATGGGGGTGCCTGGCTGGCTCAGTCCGTAGAGTGTGCGACTCTTGATCTCAGGGTTTGGAGTTCAAGCCCCATGTTGGGCATAGAGTTTAATTAAAAATAAAAAATAAAGGGGCGCCTGGGTGGCTCAGATGGTTAAGCGTCTGCCTTTGGCTCAGGTCATGATCCCAGGGTCCTGGGATCGAGCCCCGCATCGGGCTCCCCGCTCGGCGGGAAGCCTGCCTCTCCCCCCTCCACTCCCCCTGCCTGTGCTCCTCTCTCACTGTGTCTCTCTCTGTCAAATAAATAAATAAAATCTTTAAAAAAAAAATAAATAAATAAAAAATAAAAACAGATAAAAAAATAAAATGTGCCACATGGAGGATACAGTGGTGGTGGATAAAGTACACTAATTCCTGCCATCAAGGACCCTACGTTCTAGTGCAGGAGATAGGCAATAAAGGATTCATCAGATAATTCTGCTTCTGAGTGGATTATACCTGTATTGGGGGCCCATTCTTCTTAACTCTTTCTCTGCTGGGGCCTCCACTATGTCCATTGCTCCCCTCTCTTGTTTTTCCCCTTTCCTCTCTTGTGCATATGGCAAGAGAGAGAAGGAAGAGAGCCATTTTGAATCTTCTTTCTCTACACTTCAAGCTCGGCACAAAGTTCCGAATTTGCTAAAAAGTCAGGTTCAGTACTGGTGTAGCCCTAGAGTGAAGACGTCGGTATTTTTCATCAACACTGCAATAGTGGGCTGGCCCAGCTGTCAGCTTGCTTGTGAGATGACAATGACATGCTGGGTGTGAGAGTTGGACTGTTACCTTATAATTGATCTGTTCTTTTTTCATACGAGTTAGTTGTGCTGAACCCCATTGTACCTGGCTGCTTTGACAGGTGTGCTATTTTAGCAACACAGAACCAAACAGAGACTGAAAAGAAGAATGCATGGTACACTTTTGCTGTCAGATCCAGGTTGCTCTGTTTCTAAGTCTGTGGATGATTTGTTCAGGGTTGTTCAGAGACAAAAAACAAAACAAAACAAAAACCAAAAAAACCCAACAACCATAAAACCAAACAAAACTTAGGTTTCATTTTTACCTACATGATACACTGTTCTCACAGTTCACCTCACAGGTGGGCTATTGTCTATAGGGCGTAAATGAGGGCCTGGACCCCCTACCTATCTTCCCCTTTCTTGTCTGAAATTCCACCATTGTGATGAACTTCTCTGGGCTAATCATTTGCCAGCTCAAAATATAGAGAGTTCAGGGCAGACTGACTTCTCGAGTCCTTAGCATTGGCGTATGCGTTCACTTATTAGATCGATTTTTTCCTTGACCCAAAGCATGAGGAAAGGTGAGAGGTGGACTTGACCATAAACAAGTGAGGTAGAAAGATGATGAGACAATCTTGGCTCAATTCCCCAGAGCTATCCCTGAAAATCCTCTTGAACGCTGTTTTATTTTCTTTGTTTATTCTCGGTGTTGTAAGAGGCTTATGTTTACGCTTCATCTACTAAGGTTGATAGAGTCTAGGGCTGGGCATGCTTCAATCAAGGAGAGTCACGGGGCACCTGGCGGGCTCAGTCGGTAGACCATGTGACTCTTGATCTCGGGTCCTGAGTTTGAGCCCCGTGTCGGGGGGTAGAGTTTACTTAAAAAAAAAAAAAAAAAAAAAAAGGTGAGTCACTACTAGCTGCCATTGAAATCTGAGAGGACTGTTCTCATCCCCAGCGGGTGGCAAACACGTATCTGGCTTTGGTGCAAGGCAGCTCTGGGCATGTGGGGATTTAGAAATTGTTCTCCCAGCCTTGAGCTCCCAGCCTTGCCGTGCTCTTGCAGAACTAGGTGCTGAAGTTGTGGAAGAGATACAACAGACACATGACTTCAGTTATGTAAAATCCTGTTTTACAAGTATTTAACATAATCGAAAGGAACAATGTAGAAGACCATCCAGCTTCAAGCATTAAACAAAGTCTTATTCCAGTAAAAAGGAGGAAGTTTGAGGGGAATATTACTTAGCAGCGTATTTTAAAATAGAAGCAATGCTTTATTTCAGAGTAGGCAATGAAAGTTGAAAGGCTTTAAAAATTAATGATAGTTTAGCATCAACTGAAGAAAAAACATGCTCTATTAACAGCAGAGGCTAAAATTATCAACACTTGCGATATGATTTAAAACAAGTTTTATGCCCCAAATGCAGATAGGTGGGCCCTGTACATCAAAGGGTGTATACAAGTCCACATAAAGACAGAGCACCAATGAAATGATTCATTCTCTCAACTAAGGCTTATCAAACAAACAAACAAAAATCTGGAACATCTTTGGATATAGATGGATGTTTTTTAAAGGTTTTATTTATTTATTTGAGAGAGAGAGAGAGAGCAAGTGAGAGCTAGCATGAGCAGGAGCCTGATGCAGGGCTTGATCCTGGCACTCTGGGATCAGGACCCTAGCGGAAGGCAGACGCTAACCGACTGAGCCACCCAGGTGTCCCAGACATAGATTGAATTTTTGTTCCTCAGTCAGCACTCCGGAATCTTGGCCAAGAAAGTAGGAAAAATCAGTATTTGCTCAGGATCAGGATTGCTCAAGATGACTAGGAAGAGTAGCAAAGGAGACTTGGCCCGTGTTGGTTTCTCACGGACTTTTCTGATTGTGTCAGAGCCTCCTGGTTGTGCTCAGGAGTGCCTGCCCACTGACAGTACTGGTAGTTTCTGTGTTTTGGTCTTAGAGCTTCTGGTTCTTTCATTCTCTGTCAGCATGTTTCTGCCCCACATGAAGGCCATGTACACCTTGCCTCTATCATCAACCCGTCTGGGGACTAATTAAGCTAAGTCATCCCTGGCGGCCCCTGGGAAACCTGCAAGAACGGAAGCCTTAGCAAGCAGTCCTGTCTGTGGGCCCGGGTCGGCCTTGGGTAGTACAACCGAGATCTTGCAAGGACCTTCTTCCAGTTGGCCTCCCCTCCCCCTCTGAACCCTGTGTTGGGGGTGGGGTGCGGAGGGTGGGGGCAGGGAGGGGGATTGAACCTTGTGGCAATAACCAAGCTTCTAAATTGCTGAGCTGGTTTTAATTGAAGTGTGAGAAGGAGGTTTGAAGGCAGATAGACAACATCCTGTTGTTCGGGCGCTCCTCTCTCTTTTTCTGCACATCTGGCTGAACTGGGACTCAGGTGGCTGACTTGGGGCCCGGTTGCCGCAGCAGGGGCATCTGACTTCCACCGGCCCACGCCTCAGCGGCCCACGAGTCCACCAGGCCATGGACGCGGTGGCTGTGTACCACGGCAAAATCAGCCGGGAGACGGGCGAGAAGCTTCTGCTGGCCACGGGGCTGGATGGCAGCTATTTGCTGAGAGACAGCGAGAGCGTCCCGGGCGTGTACTGCCTGTGTGTGCTGTGAGTACGTCGCGGTGGCTGCGGGCACCGGGCCCGCCGGCCAGACCGCACCGGCTGGGGCTGCGGGCGGCGGCGGGCGACGTCGGGGCCTCCAACACTGCTCCTGCGACCTCCCCAAGGCCTTCCGCAGGTCCAGCCTAGGGGCGTCGCGGACCGAGCTTCGGGGTAGGCCCTTCATGGGGGTTTCACTCCCAGGGCCTTCCCGCTCCAGAAAGGCCTCCCCGGGGGCCTTTTGTGGCAGCTGCGGAGAATGCCCTTTGGGGTGGGGAGAGGAGGCCTAGAATCTACCTTTGCTCTGAGGAAGATCCAGGCTCCCCACCTCCCGTTTTGACCTCTAGTGGAGGCCAGCGAGGTGGAGCCCTGGGATGGTGGACTGGCCAAAATTGGGGCCACTGACTCCTGAGAAAAGGAAAGGCATCTCTGCCTTTCCAGATCTCTTTAAATGGAATTGGAGGTGTCCTCCCAAGGGAAACCATCACGTTCTGGGAGAGCAAGAGGAATTCATTACTTTAAGAATGCAATGCCAGTTAGGTCGGGGTGCTGAGAGGGGGATATTTGGAAGTAAGACTGCCCCTCTGGATCTGCTTACTTCGCTTCTTTTGGAGGAGCTGTGTGTGGGGGCTGGGGGTTTCAGAAGTAGGACCCTTCTTTTTTTTAAATTTTATTTTATTATGTTATGTTAATTACCATACATCATTAGTTTTTGATGTAGTGTTCCATGATTCGTTGTTTTCATATAACACCCAGTGCTCCATGCAGTACATGCCCATCACCGGGCTAACCCATCCCCCACTGCCCTCCCCTCTAAAACCCTCAGTTTGTTTCTCAGAGTCCATCGTCTCTCATGGTTCATCTCCCCCTCCGATTTCCCCCCCTTCATTCTTCCCCTCCTGCTACCTTCTTCTTCTTCTTTTTTTCTTAACATATATTGCATTATTTGTCTCAGAAGTACAGGTCTGTGATTCAACAGTCTTACACAATTCACAGCGCTCACCATAGCACATACCCTCCCCTATGTCTATCACCCAGCTACCCCATCCCTCCTATCCCCCTCCACTCCAGCAACCGTCAGTTTGTTTCCTGAGATTATGAATTCCTCCTATCAGTGAGATCATATGATACTTGAGAAGTAGGATCCTTCTTGATAAAAAGCTAGGACTGACAGTAGTGGTAAAGGGCATGAAGGGAAAACACCCCTGTTATGATTCAGCTTTGCCCTTTACCTAGGCATGCCTTAGTCTAACGCCCATTTTGAATCAGATCCACCTTCATCTTTGCTCCAGGGCTCCAGAATCAGGAGATCTGAGACCTAATCCTGTGCCAGTCTGATGGTAGACTTGTGACCTTGGCAAGTTAACCTCTCGGTCCTTTGGTTTTCTTGTCCATAAAATGGGTATAATAATGCAACCTACCTCATAGGAGAGTGAGGGGCAAATGCGATAATGCAGGTAAAGAATTTGACACTGGACCGGACACATCATAAATGCTCAGTAAATGTAAGCTGTTATTATTATTGTATCTGTCTTCAGTCGAGTTCTTTCGGTACTCATGGGGCATTTCTAAGGAAGGACCTAACTTGATCACTTTTTGTTACACATGAAACACCTGCACTACGTAGTAGGCTCTAGTCAGAAACAAAATGAAGGAAAATGCTTGGTAGTAATTTTGATACCTAATGATACACTGCAAGATTATGAAATACTTTCTGGGTCAGTGAAGAAGATCATACTGAGGCCATTATTAGATGATTTTCGTTGTTTATTGTTTTTTTTTTTTTTTTTACATGGTCAAGCCATGTTGGTGACAACTCTCAGGCCATGCTAAATACATTTATTATAAAGGCTTCAAGAGAAATATGTGGAAGCAGTTGAATTTCTTGGGCTCACATCTTTTTTTTTCTTTTTGAAGTACAGTTGACATACAATGTTATATTGGTTTTAGGTGTACGACATAGTGATTTGACAATTCTACGCATTACAAAATGCTCAGCACGATAAGTGTGGTCACCATCTGTCACCATACAAAGTTATTACAGTATTGTTGACTATATCCCCTATGCTGTACTTTTCATATCTATGACTTATTTATTTTATAACTAGAAATTTGTACCTCTTAATCCTCTTCACCTATTTTGCCCATCCCCCCCCATCCCTCTCCCCTCTGGTGACCACCAGTTTGTCCTCTGTATTTAAGAGTATTTTTGTTTGTTTTATTTTTTAGATTCTGCATATAAGTGAAAGCATATGGTATTTGACTTTCTCTGACTTATTTCACTTAGCATTATACTCTTTAGCTCCATCCATGTCATTGCAAATGGCAAGATTTCATTCTTTTTATGGCTGAGTAATATTCCATTGTATATATTATACCACATCTTCTTTATCCATTCATCTGCTGATGGACACTTGGGTTGCTTCCATATCTTGCCTATTGTAAATAATGCTGCAATAAACATAGGGGTGCATATGCTTTTTTGAATTAGTGTTTTTGTTTTCTTTGGGTAAATACCCAGTAGTGGAATTACTGGATCATGGTATTTCTATTCCAGTTTTTTTGAGGAACCTCCATACTGTTTTCCATAGTAGTCACACCAATTTACATTCTTACCAGAAGTGCGGAAAGGTTCACTTTTCTCCACATCCTTGCCGACACTTGTTATTTATTGTCTTTTTGATACTAGTCTTAGGCTCAGACCCTTATGATTTGCTTACATTATTGTTTTTCCCAATTGGAAACTGGGGAAGGTCAGTGAAAGCCATCTAGTATTCTGCGGCTCTTTTCTTATCAGAAGAATGTGGAAGAATGAGTGGGCAAGCGAAAGGGGCTTCTTTAGAGAAGGTGACAAAGGAGGTAATGAGCCCCTTAACCTAGCGGTAAAAAAGAAGCCTGGGCAGGGGAGTAAGATGAGACAGTGTGTGGCAAGATGCACCTAAAGACTCAGCCACATTGGCCCCTTTGTTTTTTCTCAAACCTGCCAACTGTGCGCTCTCCTCCTAGGATCTTTACACTTTGTTACTTCTGCCTCGTGCCTCAGAGACCACTTCCTTGACCACCCTATCTAAATTAAGTACCTTCTCCCTGTGCCTGTTATACTCTATGACTTTATTTTTCTTCAAGGAGCTTTAAACTAGCTGACATCTGCTTGTTTACTTATGTATTGCTGTTTTCTTCAGCAAAAATGGAAACTCACTGAAGGCAGGGACATTGTCTTCTGCACCAGGAACACAACCTAGCACATAATAGCCATTATGAGGCACGTTATGAGGTACATAATAGGCACTCAATAAATATTTTTGAATTAGCAAATGGATTGCCAAGGCAAATACCCTTCTTTACTGCAAAGAGCTTTGGACTGATAATCAGGCCAGGGTGTGGACTCTGGGGAGGTCATTCAGCTTCTCTGGGTCTTGATTTCCATACACGTTAAATAGGAATCGTAAGGTGTGCCTACCTTTTGCATAAGATCGCTATTGGAAAAATATGCAAAAGAAAAGGACAACTTTTAGCCTTTTGCCTATGTAGGCCAGGACCACATAAGGAATTAACTTAGGCAGAGTGGGAAATTCTCAAACATGTAAGTTTTTACCCAAAGTGAATCTTGCATAAATGCAGTTTTTATGACTCTCAGTTCTCCATGCAAACTTCCTTATGAAGTCGTGGAATTCGGTAGGCAAACTGGGAATCTCCTAGCATGTCTTTTGATGGGCACACTGGGGCCTCAAAGTCTTAGATCATGATTGCCAGGCTGTGCTACAGAGGAAAGACACAAGGATACATTGTCTTTCATGATAGTTTCTTACGCTTTTTGAGCCAAGGGTCCCTTTTGATAAACATAAAAATTTCATGCCCCCATTTTAGTACTATGCTGTAGTAACAAAAATCATATTTTATTTTGAAATAAACAACGTACTCATTTCAAACCAAAACTTGTGTGCTCATGATATGCAGTAGAAATAACAATGTAAATGGTGTCATATACACACGAACAAGATATAGCTAACAAACGTGAATTGACTATAGAATTCACTCAGAGTAGTTTCTCATTCTATCTCTCGTTTTCTCCCATTGTCCAAGAAGGTTTGGTTGATCTTTAGTTTCTATAATTTTATGGCAGAAATAATACATTATGTGTGCTTTCAAACTTTATTTTAAACTCTATTTTCAAACTATGCTTGCTCTTTTCCCTGGTTCTGAGCCCCCATTCATGGCCTTTAGATATGGCCTTTTCCTCTGTTCAGTTTTGGAAAATTGAATCTCATAAAGCACTAAAGAAATTTTCCATTTACAGAATTTCTCACCTTCCTTTAAAGTGAGTTTTCCTGGGCGCCTGGGTGGCTCAGTTGGTTAAGCGACTGCCTTCGGCTCAGGTCATGATCCTGGAGTCCCGGGATCGAGTCCCGCATCGGGCTCCCTGCTCGGCGGGGAGTCTGCTTCTCCCTCTCCCACTCCCCGTTTGTGTTCCCTCTCTCGCTGTGTCTTTCTCTGTCAAATAAATAAATAAAATCTTAAAAAAAAAATAAAGTGAGTTTTCCTTTCAGTTATTTTCAGTACATAAATGCAGATTTTTGTATAATGAGTCTATTAAAAATAGTTCCTAATACCTATTCTTCTTATAGAAAACTTGAAAAATATAAGTAATGGAAATGAGGGAAATCATCTATATTTTTAAAACCTAAAGACAATTATTGTTGAAAATTAAGGGAATTTTCTTCCATATTTTAATAAAATAAATTGCTTTCTAAACACACAAGTGCTCTTACAATATCATATTCTACTGCATTTTCCACTTAACATGAAAAAAACCCATTCATATATATTTTAAGACATCATTTTTTATGGCTGCATGATAGCTCAGCCAGTGATTGTACTCTATTTTCCTTAACCTGTCATCATTTTTAGACATTTGAATCATTCCATTTTTCTTTGCTGTTACAAATGTCATCATGATTCATATTTTAGTCCATAAAGATTTCCTTGTATTTATATTATTTCCTTATAAT